CCCCAACCTAAGGCTCAGGGAAGAGGGAATAAAAGATTGTAAAAGCCAGAAAGAAGATCAGAGTATTCTCTGTGAGACTGTCTTCTAGTAAACTCAGAAACCACACTCATAAAGCTCACCACCATGACTCTCTAAACAAACTGAACAAGGACAACGCTAATAGACAGGTCAAAGTAAATAGAAGAAAGCCCACAAGGCCTCAGCCCTACATTAAAAAAAAAAAAACCCGAAAATGAAGGGATGCTGAGAGTGGGATAAATAGTCTTTTCCAGGGAAAAACACACCAACTGGTTGTCTATTACTAAATTGTCAGCTCTGAAAACATGTGCCCTCCCCAGCCTTGAGCAGTCTGAAGAGACCTTGCCTGCCGAACTGCACCGGACCTTAACACCTAGGTGAGTCCTGCTGCTTTGTTTACACTTGCAACTTCCAGGGAGAACTGTGAAGAGACTGCCCGCTGAGCCTGCTTTGCAGCTGAAACAAAGGATGGGCTTGGGCGGGCTTTCCCTATGTATTACAAGAGCTGAACATTAAACTTGGAGCTTTGATCAGAAAACTTTGTCGTAGCTTCATGCTTCTTTCGCCTCTCCGTCCTTTTTCATTTCCAGCCCCCCTTTCATGTGGACTCAGTTCATCTGTGGCTGCAGGTGGCTACAAAAACATAGATAACATTATTCAGCAAGGTGTGGTGGTGTATGCTTTTAATTCCAGCACTTGAGAAGCAGAGGCAGAGGCAGGAAGGTCTCTGTGAATTTGAATTTGGCCTGCACTACATAGCCAGTTTCAGGATAGCCAGAATTGTATAATAGAGAGGCCCAGTCTCAAAAATAAACAATAAAACAAATAAAAAAAATAACATGCCGGGCGGTGGTGGCGCACGCCTTTAATCCCAACACTTGGGAGGCAGAGGCAGGCGGATTTCTAAGTAGAGAGTTCGAGGCTAGCCTGGTCTACAGAGTGAGTTCCAGGTCAGCCAGGGCTACACAGAGAAATCCTGTTTCGAAAAACCAAACCAAAAAAAAAAAAAAAAAAACAAACCACAAACAAACATAATATGGACCAAGCAGATTATATTTAGGAATATACATGTACATGCAAATAAACATGTAATAATAATAGTCAAATAAGATGCTTTTTTGAAAGAAAGTAAGGAATGGTTTATGGGAGTGTTTGGAGGAAGGAAAAGGAGGGGAGAAATGTAAATATAGTATAATCTCAAAAATAAGAAATAAAAAGTAAGCACACATAATGAAAGGTTTCATTATGATATCCTTAACCAAAAAAATGTAGGAAGTGGAGGTAATAGCATGAACCTTTGATCCTAGCACTCAGGAGGCAGAGACAGACTGCAACTCTGAGGCTAGCCTGGTCTACATGATGAGTTCCAGACTAGTCAGGGATACATAGTGAAACACTGTCAAAAAAATGGGGGAGGACAAAAGACATTGATATTTTACAGAAATGGAAAGCTTTTAAACACAGGAAATATGACAATTCAGGGCTGGAGGACAGCTCAGCTGGTACAGGGCTGCCATGCAAACATGAAGACCTGAGTGTAATCTACAGCACTTGTCTAAAAGCTGGGCACGGGCACGGGCACGGGCACGGGGACGGGGACGGGGACGGGCAGGGACAGCTGGAAGACTGAACGTCATCGACTGGGTGGGCTTCAGGCCAAGGAGAGACTCTGTCCAAGAAACAAAATGGAGGACCTAGAATTGGCCTCTTGTCTCCACATATGTCCACAACATACCTGCACACACACACATAGAAGTGGTGTGTATGTGTGTGTATAAATGAGTTGTGCTCATGGAGAACAAAAAACAATTTGTGGGAATTATTTTTCTCCTTCCACCCATGTAGGTCCTGGGGATTCAACTTAGGTCATCAGCCTCTCTCTCTCTCTCTCTATCCTGCCCCCTCTCTCTCTACACACACGCACACACACACACACACACACAAACACACATTCAATATATAATATAGCTGCTTCATTTTCTAGCCCAGGCTGGCCTAGAACTCTCTACATAGTCCACTGCTTCAGTCTTTTGCCAGCTATAGTATTCTTCTGTGTGTATATTTTATTTATTTAATTAGTCCCTTGTTACTGGACATTTGAGCCAAAGCAATGTTCTAAAAATCACATGCAGGGATTTAATATGTTCAACTCTCTAATTAAGACCTTTTTTTTTTTTTTTTTTGGTTTTTCGAGACAGGGTTTCTTTGTGTAGCCCTGGCTGTCCTGGAACTCACTCTGTAGACCAGGCTGGCCTCAAACTCAGAAATCTGCCTGCCTCTGCCTCCCAAGTGCTGGGATTAAAGGTGTGCGCCACCACCGCCCGGTTCTAATTAAGTCCTAAAGATAGAAAGTATAATTATTTTTGAGACATGACCTCATTATGTAACCCTGAATGGCCTAGAACTTGTTACATAGACACAGAGGTCTACCTGCCATATATATATTGAACAAACTTGGGGTACTTAAGAAAACAGGTATACCACTTTCCAACTGGTGTAGCTGTAAATACTTGCACACATAATGCATACATGCATGCTTCCTACCTGCATAGGCTGTTTCTGAAACAGTGTCTACAATGGCCTATCAGACCTCACATAGTCTAGTTTGCCCTTTGGCATCTTTTTTTTTAAAAGACATATTTGTAAAGACTTATTTGTGTGTGTGTGTGTGTGTGTGTGTGTGTGTGTGTGTGTGTGTGTATGCTATCATGAACTTATGAGCATTGTGTGGATGCCTGATACCCAAGAAAGCCAGAGGTCATTGGATCCCAAGAACTGGAGTTACATGAGGTTGTCTGATGTGCCGTCTGATGTGCTAGGACCTGAACTTGGGTTCTGTGGAAGAGCAGTAAGTGTTCATAACTGCTGAGCCATCTCTCCAGATCTGCCTTTTGCTACCTTCAGTAGCCTTTTCTGGTCCATCTCTTCCTAATATCTACTGGCTCAGGTCACCTGCTGTTCCTGGAGCATCATTGAGCATCACTGATTTGAAGTCAGTTCCTCAGAAGTCAGGAAAGTTCTCCCAGATGTCTGTATGCTTTGCTTTTTCGTCTTCTGCCTTTGCACGCATCTTGTCCTCTGAGTGAGGCCTACACTCACCACCTTAATTAAAAGGTGCTCACCTTTAGTGTCCCCTTCCCTTACCATTTTTCTTTTTCCCACAGTACTCACAACCATCCAACATTGTATTATTCTGTGTGCTTAGTGCCATATTTGTGGCCTGTTTATTCCAAGAGGAATGTGAACAAAAGAGAGGCCATCTTTATTTCACTCACTGATGGCATCATCCTTAATATGGTTAACTTGACAGGGTCTAAAAATCACCTAAGAGACAAGTCTCTGAACATGTCCAATGGAGTGTCTAGATTAGATTGGAGTGGAGGGGACAATGCTAAATGTGGTAGCATTGTTCCATTGATGAGAGTCCTAGATTGCATGAAGACAAGGAAGATAGGCTGGCCATGGTGGCTCACACCTTTAATCCCAACACTCAGGAGGCAGAGGCAGGAGGATCTTTGTGAGTTTGAGTCCAGCCTGGTCTGTATAGTCAGTTTCAGGATAGCCAGGGCTACATAGTGAAACCCTGTCTCAAAAAAAATGAAGAAGGAGAAGAAAAAGAAAAAGGGAAACAAGAAGAGGAGGAGGAAGAAGAGGAGGAGGAGGAGGAGGGGAGCTTGCCCACATTCTGCATTCCCCTTTCTCTACAGATGGAATGTGACCAACCATATCCTGTGCCTGTCATCATACCTTCCCCTCCATGGTGGACGGTATTCCCTGGAACTGAGGATAAAACAAACCTTTCCTTTTGTAAATTGACTTTTTTTTTTGGTTCAGGTATTTTGTCACAGCAACAAGAAAAACAAGTCAAGGCCAGGTGTGATGGTACACACCTTCAATAATTCTAGCACTCAGGAGGCAGAGGGGGTCAGACAGAGCTTTGTGAGTTTGAGCCCAGCCTGGTCTACTATATAGTGAGACCCTGTCCAAAACAAAACTCAACCAACCAAACAAAAAACAAACAAAAAGAACAAGGAAGAGGGCTGGAGACACGGCTCAGTGGTTAAGAGCACTGACTGCTCTTCCAGAGGTCCTGAGTTCAATTCCCAGCAACCACATGGTGGCTTACAACCATCTGTAATGGAATCCAATGACCTCTTCTGGTGTGTCTGAAGACAGCGACAGTGTACTCACATATATAAAAGATAAATAAATAATCCTAAAAAAAAAAAGGAATGAAGAGGAAAGCAACATACAGTTTGAGCATTTAACACCTTATAGGTGCCAAAACAGTTGTTTTGCAAGGAAGGAAACTAGGGGTTGGAGGTAGGAAAGAAACTTGCTTTTTGTCTTTTTCTTATTTTTAATTGTGTGTTTGAGCAATATGTTCAGGTGCCCACAGAGGCCAGGAGTGTCAGGTGCTGGAGTTACAAGTGGTTGCCAGCCACCAATATGGGTGCCGAGAATCCAACTCGAGCTCTCTACAAGAGCAGTATGTCTTCTTAACTACTAGGCTATCTCTACAGCCCTGGAAACTTACTCTTCAGTATATACCTTGATATACCAAGTGATTTTATTAACAGGTAAAAATCTAATAAAGAACGTTTCAGTCCTGCCAACAATGTGTAAGCACTAGAAGTGACAGCATGGACCCAGTTCCTCACAGAGAAGTTAGGTGACTTACCATAAGTCATGCAGGCAGGATTTACATATGTCTGTTAATTTTAGAGCCCTAGCAATCAAGTATTATGCTAATTGGGCCTAAACAAGAGTGATTTGGAGCTCTAATCAGCCAATTCAATGTAGTCAGATAGTCACTATTTTTTAAAAGATCACGGCTTGCTTTGTCTGCGTCTATTAAAGCCAACTCCAAGAGACCATCTGATATGGGATTTTGGTTGTATTGTGCAGGATGGCTGACATATATGGGAATACCAAGCTTGGAGATCCTTTTATTTAGAATATCAAGAAAACAAATCTCAATCTCTTGCGAAGATAATCTATATTTCTTCCAAAGCCATTGAGAGGTCTATGTGAGCATTTGGGGGTGAGGAAGGGTTTTGGGGCACTTGGCCCCCTTATCGAGTAGTGGGAGTATTCCCAGGGGCTATTAAAGCCTGGCTGCTGCTCCGTGTGAACATGGACGATTGGCGGAAGGTTTTCTGGGCCCGGATCAGATTGCGAATCCGCCGCTGCTGCTGGAGCCAGTAGAGCATCTCCACTTTGTCCTGCTTCATCTTCTTCAGATAGCTCCGCCCCTTGAAGGTCACTGGCTCCCCAAAGACTGACTCTATCTTTTCCAGTAGGGAAATCAAAGAAGATTCCATTCGATTAAGCTTCCTTTGGAGATAGCTACGGAACCGATTCTCCTCCAGGAATCGATTCACCAACAAATCAGGCTTTTGGAAGAAGCGATTGGGGTCGGAGGCTTGTCGCTCAAACCACTCCAGCCTCCCTAGCAACAACTCTCGCTTTTGAATGGGCTTCAGGACCCGCTCCCAAGCCCTGATCAATGCTGGTAGCTGCTGCAGGCGTGCATTGGAGCTGTACTTAATGACCATGTCTAGCCGACTCTGTTCAGGGACTTCCAACATGACCCATAGTCGTTCTAGACGCTGCTGCAGGTTGTAGATGTGGTCTTTCCCAGGTCCTGAGCCATCCTGTATCACTGAGCTCCAATCCCATTCTCCTGGTACAAATTTTACGTCTTCATCTTGCTGCATGGGAGGGAGGTTCTGAATCTCTAGGGACTCTTGGACAGGGACTGATATCTCCACAGGAGCTTCTTCTTCATACATTTGGAAGATGACATGGAGGAAATCCGACTCCTGAGAGGCAAGGTACTTGAAGTAGTCTTCCGAAGACACAGAGGGTTTCATCCAGTTCATCCATATACCCTTGTTTGGTCGCTTGTCCCAGCTTTTGTGCCTTTGGAATAATGTGAGAGAAGGCATCTTCTCAGGGAACAGCTGTTGAGCGCTTGCTCTTCTAGTTGTTCCAAGCAGACTATGGTTGATGGTTGGCATAATTTTATCATGGTGTAAAAAAGATGAGGCCAAGTAGGAGGACCAATCTTTTTCTGCTGAAGGCTCAACTTGGGGTCCTTCCTCAAAAGAGAAATGACTAGTAGAGACTCTGCTCATCAATTCTTTGTATACCTCTTTGGTGGTGTTCCCAACAAGACGATCAGCATCCATTTCTTTAATGGCTTTACAATCCAGTTCCCCAGTCAGATGGTTGTATAGGACTCCAGCCCCCTCGACGTGGAAAGAGTCAGAAAAACATCTTTCAGAGAGTTGCACAGTAGCTACCTGCACTATGACTTGTTCCTGTACCTTCAAAGTAACAGTGACTGGCTGTGGGTGAAGTGGAGTGATTCGTGGTGGTTGGAGATCCCACTTACCAGAGGCTTCTTCCTCCTGCAGGCTCTTCAGCATTTGCTGCAGTTCCTCCATGTGGTGCTGGGCAGTTAGGCGCCGAGTAAGGACGCCGAGGAGGGGGGGCAGGCCGGAGTCCAGCAGAGAGTAGCGACTCCACTCCATTGTCATGATCTTCATCTTCTGCTTCAGATCCTCAGCCACTATGTCCCGGAATGGCAGTGGTTTACTCTCTGAAGCCAAGATCAGTGGGGTTTGGGGATGAGGGGGGAGAGGAAGAAGGCCCAACTCATCTGCCAGACTCCACCCTTCACGAAGACAGGGCATGGACTGGCCCCTTTGGAGCCAGGAATGGACTGGTGAGGTGGGGAAGTGGGGAATCTCACTGCTGAGAGGATGATGGGTAGGCAGTGGTACCGTCTGTGAGGCTCTCGCTTCAATTTCTCTTTCCTTTATCATGGCGGGCATCCAGAGGAGCTGCTGTCTACTCTTCAGCTGGGGGATGGATTTCAACTCTTTCACTGGATCAGGTTCCGGCTCACTGGGAAAATCATATGGGCGGCTGAGTTGGACAAGGTAGTTCAGGTTGAGGCTAGAGCATGGCACTTGGTCCAAGCCAGTGCTGTGAGGCCAGGGGATTGGACAGAGCTTGAAAGTCCCAGGGGGACAGGTGGGGGGACGCACCTTGACTATGCCTCCCTGGGTATGCTTTAAATTCAGCAGGGTCTGAAAATCAGCCAGCAGGTAGCGATAGACATCGGGACTGGTGAGGAAGACTGTGCAATCCCTGGCAAGGTTGACTGCCAACCGGCTGAGGGTGGCTGATTCAGTGAAGACCCTTCTAGAGGTCGGCAGGGTCACCAGCAGATGCAGGTAGCGTACGAAGAGCTGCTCACTACAGATCAGCACGTAAGACTCCAGCCGCTTCCGCAGCTTCTGGTTGTTTTCGTAGTTCAGAATGGGTTCTATAGGAGGTTCTCGCCAGTTGCACTTCAGCTCCTCTAGGATAACCTCGGTGAGACGAAGTCGGTCCTTGGCAGTTACCCGTGCTGCCCGCCCGCTGCTTGCTAGCCGCTTGGACACCTGGCGGCACAGCGGCCCCACTTTCAGCTTCACCAGCGGGATGGATTGCAAAGCCGTGGCATCTTGATAGGTGCGCTTCGGAGGCTCTGGAGGCTTCGCCTTGCTGGGGAAGAGCGACAGCGGACTCAGCAACCAGTGATAAATCGGCTTGAGGTCAGCTTCCTGACTCTGTGGCTCCATCTTTACCAGGTGGTTCCTGCTGAGCTGGTAGAGAACGCCAAATGGTTACTAAGGAAACGACATCAATGCGCCTGCGCGGCCGGTAGCCAATACCGGTCCGCTCAAAGACCTGGGCCTAGCGAGCGCACGCGCCAAGGAGGTGGAGCAAAGGGCGGCCCCCGAGGCTCCGCCCATCCCACGAAGCAGAGTTGTGTTGGTCTCTGGACCCTGCGGGTTGTGCGGCCCAGGCGGGTGACTACAGCCAGGATGGCTTCGAAATCGGGGGACGGTGGAACTGTGTGTGCAGTGAGTGAAAACTTCATGTGGAACCTCGCATAGCTTCAGCCCCTGGGGTGGTCGTTATCTTGGGAAGCCAGGAAAGAGCAGGCTCCTGGGAAGGTGAAATTCCGGGGTTAGGATAGCGATGCCCCTCATAGAGAGAGTGTAGGAGGGTGAGACTACTATCCTGGAATGCTCATGAGATAATCAAGAAGGAATTTGAAGAGAAGTCATGTGCAGTGTGTGCTTAGAGACATACAGGAGGTGGCGAATCCGGATCATGCCTGACATGTACCTGGGCCTTGCTTCCCTTACAGCTGGAGTTTAAAGTGCAGATGAGTTGTCAAAGCTGTGTGGACGCTGTGCACAAGACCCTGACAGGGGTGGCAGGTAAGAGCAGAATAAATCTTTCTGGGGTCAGCCCAGCGGTTTGTGTTTATTGGTATTCCCATTGTACAAATGCAGAAAGAACGAAAGGAAGTTTCTCAGAGTCCCAGAGACGCGGGGGCAGAGCCTAGAGTACAGGCCTCAAGCTTGCCTAGCCAGAGCTTTCTTCTAGTACTAACTGCCTGTCCAGCTGCTGAACATCATGGAGCTAGCCAGCGTATAGAGCACCTCCTACCAAGGCGTTCTGGGGCGGACACTTGAGGTCTTGCTTGGGAAACAGCACAGTTCTGAGAAAGCAAGCAGCATCCCTGGCCCAATTCAGAAAGTTTAAGCCAGGGATTCTGCAGGTGACCTGGCTTTTGCTTGCTTTTTTTTTTTTTTTTTATTCTGTTAAATGTTCATTCAACCTTTCAGCTAGTATAGATTAGACACTGGGGCTTCTGAGGAAAAATGTTTACTCTTGTGCTTAGGTAAAGATCATATAAGCTTTGCAAAAGGAGCATTCATAGAACACTTCACTGGGAAGCCATTGTGGAAATGGGAAGGAAGGAGCTAAGAGTCTAATAATTTCACAGATGCACGTTGGAGTTAGATCTGTTTACATTCAGATGCCCTCTTTGCCACACACTAGCATGATTTCATGCTTATTTTCGTTTGTTTGTTTGTTTGTTTGTTTGTTTTCGAGACAGGGTTTCTCTGTATAGCCTGGAACTCACTCTGTAGACCAGGCTGGCCTCGAACTCAGAAATCCGGCTGCCTCTGCCTCCCAAGTGCTAGGATTAAAGGCGTGCGCCACCACCGCCCGGCTCGTGCTTATTTTCTATGCTTCTGTTTCTGCAGTGTGTGAGCAGTGTTCATAACCCAGTGTTGTCATGAGGAGTCAGTTAGTTGATGCAAGTCTTGAGCATGTAGTGAGAGCCCACTCAATTTCAGGGGATTGTAAGAGGAAAGAGGAAAAACGCTTACAGACAAAGGTGATGTTTTAGGAGGGAGATTGGGGAAACTGATTGTTTTGTGTTTTGTTTTATTTTGTTTTGAGATAAGATCTCTTTACATAGCCCTGGCTTTCCTGGAACTCACTATGTAGACCAGGCTGGCCTGCAGTTCACAGAGATCTGGTTACCTTTCCCCCCAAGTGCTGAGATGAAAGGTGTGCGCCACTACAATCGACCTGAAACTATTATTTGATTTATTATTAGTGAATGTGTGTATGATGGGTCTTGGGGAGGGGCTGTGCATATGGAGGTCGAGAACAACTTCAAAGTTTGTTCTCTGCTTCCAGCTGTCAGTTGTGTGGCAAGAACAGTTCACCTGGGGCTAGAGAGATGACTCAGCAGTTGAGAGCATTAACTGTTCTTCCAGAGGTCCTGAGTTCAATTCCTAGCAATCACATGGTGGCTCACAACCATCTGTAATGGGATCTGATGCCCTCTTCTGGTGTGTATGTATTCATATACATTAACTAAATAAATAAATAAACAAACAAATCTTTAAAAAAAATAGCACCAAAAAAAAAAACCCCAACAAAGTCAAAAAATAAAAAACAAAAAGCAAAACCAGCAGAACAGTTCACCCGTTAAGCCATCTGCCTGGCTTGGAATGAATCCTTTTTTTAAGGTTTATTTTTAAAATTTGCTTTATTTTATATGTACGGGTGTTTTGCTTGCATGTGTCTGTGCACCATGTGTGTGCCAGGGGCTAGGAAGATGGCTGAGTCAGTAAGAGAGATAACTGCATCACTGTGAGAGTCTGGTACAGAGTCCCAGCACCTGTGTAAACGCCAGACTGCTGTAGCAGCCCACCGTAGTCCCAGCCCTCGGGAGATAGACATAGGGGTCCCAGGGCAAGCTGGCTAGCTAGACTAGCCAAATCAGTGAGCTCTGGGTTCAAGTGACAGAACCTGCCTCAAAAGGTAGTGAGCAATTAAGGAAGACAGGTGGATGCCATACGTACCTGCACGAGTATATGCCCCCACACTCAGGAACACGCATGCATATATGCATGCATACTACACACATATACACACCAAAAAAATCACCTTGGCTCCTATGTGGAACTACTAAAACAGCAGTTCTCAACCTGCCTGGATCAAGAAGACCCCTTTGGGGTTTGCCTAAGACTATTGTAAAACACAGATATTTACATTATGATTCATAACGGTAGCAAAATTACAGTTACAAAGTAGCAATAAAAATAATTTTTTGGAGGGTCACCACAATATGGAACACTGTATTAAAGGATCACAGCGTTAGGAAGCTTGGGAACCACTGGACTAAAGCAAGAAAACAGGGAGTTCATAGATAGGGTTCATGAGCAGGCTAAGGAAAGAGGTGTCTAAGATAAGTGCTGAGGCCTGAGTGTGTTTTGCACACATAGCAGAGACGGTTCCCTTATGGTCTGGCCTGCGCATAGCATGGATTCCCAGACCCAAGATCTCCCAGGAGGAGCTGATTCTGTGCTCTGGATGTGGGAGGGCCAGAGCAGAAGGATCCTTGTGACTATCTCCTTTAGAATTCCTGACCTCACTCTGAACCAGAAGGAGGTGGGACTTCCAGCAGGACAGCAGGTCTGTTTTGCAGGTGGATATTGGAGTATAGCCAAGCCAACCTCTAGTGAGTGCTCAGCGGAGAAAAAGCAGAGCATGCAGTTACTGTAGGGCAAACATGAAGGGCTTCAGGGAAAGCTCCTCTTTACTGAGGTCTTGGGCAACTCTGTCCCTCAGTATATTCTGTAAACTGCTCTCCTGCTCAGCTAGAAGAAAGCCAAGTTAATTTCATTTACTGAGACCAGAAAACATGGTTATCTGAAGTCTCCTTTTGGTGACTAAGAAGCCCAAGGAATCCTTGAAATTGCTCTGTGTCCAACCAAAGTCCCACCTGTCTGTTTCTCCAGCAAGAATGCTCCTTGGTAAAACTTTGGCTGGAATATGTTACTTTTAGTGGAATGGCTTCAACTCCATTAGATCTTCACTTACCATTCCAAAACACTGTTTAAACAAACCTGGCTTCAATAATATGTTCCTTCAGTGCCCTGAAAGCTGTAATGGGCTTGTAATCCTAGCCACTCTAGAGGCTGAGATAGAAAGGGTGTGAATTCAAGACCAACTTGAATTACAAATTGAGACCATGTTTCAAAAAAGGTATGTGTAGTTGAGAGATGGTTCAGTGGTTAAGAGTGCTACTGCTCTCGCAGAGAACCTGTTTGGTTTCCAGATCCATGTCAGGTGGCACAGTTACTTGAAACTTTAACTTCAGGTGATTTGATACCCTCTTATAGACTCCACAGGCATCTGCACTCGCATATACACCCCCCAACATACACATAAATATGTAATTAAAAATAAAATAAGCCTAGGTGCTAGAGAGATGGCTCAAGAGTTAGGAGCATTGGCTGCTCTTCCAAAGGATCCAGGTTCCATTTCTGGCACTCTGGCTCTTAACTGTCTGTAACTCAAGTTCCAAGGGATCTGATGCTTTCTTCCGGTCTCCACAGGCACCAGGCTTATGTGATGCACAGACATATGTGCAGGCACAACACCGGCATCCATAAAATTAATAAAAGTTAAAAAGATTTATTAAAAGTCATAATTCAGAATAATATGGCATTAGTTATATAAAAATCTTTCCGTGAGAATGTAAGAATTATCTCATAGAATTACACACACTGAGGTGACTTCAGGGATTTCAAGGGTAATAGGACTCTATTGGCACTTTGATCTGACACACTTACTTTAAATTTGACTTCTGTGGACCACACATAATTCCAGTCCTAATGAGTTGACAGCCTAGTGAGGGAAACAATGAAGTGTAATCAGAGCAGAGTGAGTGCTCAGCTCTAGAGCAAGGACAGTAGACAATGTGTGTGGGGGTCGGGGACCCCCAGGAAGTGTGGGCTAGGTCTTCCTACCATGAGTAGAAGGCTTTGGTTAATTGTTTTTGCTCTGTAGCTAGGCTGCCTGGACTGAGTTCCAGTTCTGCAGCCTATAGATTTTCCATACATTTCTTCATTGTTCTATGCCTTGATGTCCTTATCTGTAAAACAGATAAATTCCCAAGGTTACCCTGAACATGAAATGGAACAATCCAGGTAAAGCACACCAAAAAGGGCTCAATGGGCTGGAGAGATGGCTCAGCAGTAAAGAGCACTGGCTGCTCTTGGAGAAGACCTGGCTTTGGTTTCTAGCACCCACATGACGACTCATGATGGTTCAGGGAATCCTAACTAAGACAGGATCCAATGTCCTGTCAGGGTCACCGCAGGCACTGCATGCAAATGGTGCACATACACATAGGTAGACAAAGCACTCATCCACATAATCAATAAATCTTAAAGAAAAAAGAGACCTTAGTTTATGGCACATGCTCACTGTCAGCTCTTAGGATGGGAGCCATGG